ATGGCACATAAGGTTCTTGGGCTGAGGCGGCGTTATGTAGATGCCGATATTCTTGTTCCTCATTTTGAATATTACCAGAGTAGTGAGCAATGTTCCTCCCAGTTTAACACCACTTAGCACCTCGAGAAGTTACAAGCATTATGGAGGGGGGAAAAGAAAGAAAGAAAGACGATACACCAACACAAACACAGTACGCTTGCTCGATAGTTCCAAAGAATCGGGTCACGACGACGATCAATCCATCGCACGTAATATGGGGCGGAACAGGGCTCGCCTCCACAATAAACCGTCCTGTCGCCATTGTCCACGACGTAATCATCCCATGCCGTGGAGCCCCCCCAATGTCTCCTGACCCGGGCTCAACCCCGAAGCTCACGCATGCTTCGTGATGAACTCGCCCATCCTCGCCGCCACCGTCGCCGCGCTCTCCTCGAACCCGATGCTGTGGCCCACGAGCACCGTGTCGTGCGGCGCGTCGGGCTCGACAAACGTCTCGACCTCGTTCCCCTCGACGACGCTCATCTCCCCGGCCCACTCGAGGCCGTCGGCGAGGATCACCTCGGCCCCGCCGAACGTCGCGAGCACCGGCACCGGCAGCCGGAACGGCTGGCCGAGCGGCACGATGTACGGGTGCTCGGGCGACGCCGGCGGGATGTACGTGCGGGCGCCCCACAAGCAGAGCGCCGTGCCGATGTAGTCGCTGCCGTAGTTGGGGTTGCCCGTGATGACGGCCGCGGGCCACAGGTGCTTGTGCGGCGCCACCCACGGCGTGACGGCGACGGCGCACCTGGGCGCCGGGAGGCCCAGCGCGCCGCCGTGCTCGGCGAGGTACCGCAGCAGCGCGATGACGAGGTTGCCGCCCGCGCTGTCGCCCGAGAGGACGATGCTGGACGGCGCGACGCCCAGCGTGCGCACGAGGTACAGGTAGCTCGTCAGCGCGTCCTGCACCGCCGCGGGGAACGGCGCGTTCGTCGGCCGGCTCGACAGCCGGTACTGCGGCGCGAAGACGTGGCCGACCCCGGCGTGCTTGAGGAAGAGGTCGAACATGGGGCCCGAGTCGCCCGTGCGCCCGTCGCCGATGACGAACCCGCCGCCGTGGAGGTGCAGCAGGACGGTCCCGGCCGCCGCCGCGTCCGCCGGCTTCTGCGGGTACCACGTGCCGCCGATGACGGCGGGCTTGACGCTCTCGCTCGCCAGCGGCCCGCGGTATACGTCCTCCGGGAAGGGCTCGAACGTCACCCATCTATCCTTCTCTTTCCCCGGTTCCAGGGGTAGCGGTACCGGCGTCTCCGTCCTGGACAGTATGTTGAGGATCTTGTTGAAGAGCCGGACCATGACAGCTTGCTTGATAGTCCACTGTAGCATTCAAGGTCAGTGAGCAAACGATATATTGAGCGGGAGATCTGATGTTGTCCGATCGTTGCGTGCTCTATCCGGCTCGGGGGCCCCGTACTCAAGCGGGCGACACGAAGGGCTGCTTACCGTGGGGAGCGGCCTCGCGCCCTTGAAGAGAGCGCTACCGGCTATCCATATCGGCAGACGGATGAGAATGGTGCCGGCATAGAAGACCTTGTAGAAGTGGCTGATGACCGGGTACGACAGGAGAGGCCGCCCAGGAAATTTTGCAGTGGGCATCTTGGGCGAATACAGCTGCAATTCGCTTCTGGTTGCTAAGTCGAAAGTGGAGGGGACGGGAAAGTGACCGAGGTATCGATGACCTACCTATTTATTCGTTATCGAATTGGTATTCACCCCCTTGCATGGTTAAAATGCCGGCTTCTTTATTCGGCTCGACTCCGCACCCCGCGTTCTCGACTGCGACCAATAACGTCGTTACCCGCTGAGCAATCCAATGCTAACCGCTCCCGCGTGGTCCAGAATAACGACGTCGGGGAAAGAGGGGAATTGCTACCCCTATCGAATGGCTATGCTTTTCATTAATGTCTGGAAATGTCACATCATGTGTGGTACAGAATTGGGAAAAGCAAACCATATTCCCCACTGTCCCCATCTCAGCCCTCGCATGTAGCCTGTCTCATCCCAAAACGGCCATCAACGTCCCAAGTAGGGTAGATCATTGCATGCCCAGTAGGTATTTACACCATACGCTTTTCAGCCCCTGCCTCGTTGCTCTCAGAGGGTAAAGAGTGAACGATACCTACCTATTCACGAGCCTCGAGGAGCCTTCTCCTACATTTCAGAGTGGTAACGCCAGAGACAACTTTACGGGCGTTCAACAGTGTCTTCTTGAGTGAAACAAGACAGCAGTATGTTTCATGTCAAGGCGACAGGGGTGTTCATGCAGCCCAGAAGTCATAGACTACTGGAACATGGCCCACACAATTGCCGGCGCTAGTAGTAAGTTCTGTATAGGCCACTCGCCATAAAACCTGTAGGGGCTGTAGACGAAGCGTTTACGGTCCCGAGAGAGGATCATGTCTCATTATTAGGTAACTGAGTCACAACTAATGTTATTTATCGTGGGGATTTTGTTGGTTGTCACACAGGACTTTAAACGACGACAGCTATGGCACCACTTGCCAGTGTCCAAGATCAACAGATCTTGCGGAGACTGAACTCAGGTTTCGTTATCATCGGCGAGGATAACTTGATCCTGATACTCACATACTATTCGCACACTGGGCCGTCAGTCTTCACCGCTATACAATAATAACACTACAGTAGCTAACGTAGTTTGAATCCCATTACCTACCAGTACAATGAGCTATGCTTAGATCAGAAAAAGCGCAAAGGATGCGATGACTGACAGGCATATTCAAAGCTACCTAGTCTATATCTCATAAGATATGCCATGCATAATTGACATTGTTATTAGTGTAAACCACTAGCTATGTAAGAGCGACTTGCAACTCATAGTGACCTTCTTAAAAGCCATGTTACTGTAAATATGAAGTCACCGGGTGTTACTAGTCAGGATTAGCATAGAGGCAAGGATCCAATACCAAGTCTCAGTGAGGTCTTCTCAACTTGGGCGATTTAGGATTATCCTATAGCTTTATATATTCAAATTACGAGTAAATGCCACCTTGGTGATGCTTATTGACTTACTCTCAAGTGATGTTTGTCCCTGACCTGCTAGGGAGATGACACAGCCCACTTAGGTACTCATTGGGTGACCAAGGTTAGTAGGTTGGTAGGTTTCTTGAGTCGCTCAGTTATTGTATAATGGCTTCCCACGTTCTGTTCCTACGGAATATTGAAGTTAAACCACCTGTAATCAGGTGCACATATTGCGATGGTTAGCTAGGCGTTTACGGGTTAATCTTTATCCCCAGATTCTCTCCGCGCTACTAACGTGGAGTGGTGGAGCAACCACCATCACAATTCGCCCCTGGTCCATCATTGGGAAAACAGTTACCAGGCCCATGTGTTTTCCGGACATGAACCAAAGGTGGAAAATGTTCGTTTCCTACCGGAAATAAATTCACGCCTCTTCCTTCTAGTTGGGTAAAAGTATGTAGTACTCTAGGTATATAGACTATAGACGACTGGCCACGGCGACCCGATGCCGGGTACTCAAGTCATCCGCCCGCTCACTCCTCACTCCAACGCTTCAATCACGTACCCGAAACGAGAAGGAAAGGAATAAAAAAAAAGCTTCGCCATGTCCCGTACCATACTCCTGATAAACGGGCCAAACCTCAACCTCCTCGGCACCCGGGAACCAGAAATATACGGGAACACGACATTGTCAGATGTGATCGCCCAAGCCGAATCCGAAGCGGCAGGCCTGGGTGCCACGCTGCAGAGCTTCCAGTCGAACCACGAGGGCGCCATCGTCGACAGGATCCAGGCCGCGCGCGGCGAGATCGACGCCATCGTCATCAACCCGGGGGCCTTCGCGCACACGAGCGTCGCCATCCGGGACGCGCTGCTGGGGGTCGGCATCCCCTTCGTCGAGCTCCACGTGACCAACGTGCACGCGCGTGAGCCCTTCCGCCACCGCAGCTACTTGCAGGACAAGGCGGTCGCCGTCATCTGCGGCCTGGGCACGTTCGGGTACAGCGCCGCGGTCCGATTCGCGGCGAAGCACATGAAGCTCAAGGGTAGGTTATGAGGGGAACAAAAGAAGAGGTGGAGGAGGGGTGGATGTCATGATGAGGAGCGGGACATGTCGTTGCCTTGTCTAGTTTCCTAGCTATCGAGAGTTACATCATCATGTACGCTGCGAGGCGACCATCGAATATAAACCTTGCATGATTTCTGATTTCCTATTCTGTTTTGGGGCCTCTTGTGTGCTGATGGTAATGGCACTCTACTTGGAACCTTAAAAGCAGGGATTACGAAGACGGGAAGGTAGACACGAAGCTGATATGTCAGAATGCGAATAGACACACCGCGAGTTTAAGGCTAGATATCGCGATACACAAGTCATTCATATTCATTAGTTAAGCTCTACTAAATTATACTCCACGTCTATTCATTCAATGACTGAGTAGAGTCAGGCCGTCTCAACTTAGCCTGGATGCCACCGAGATGAGGCAGTCATATTGTATATAAAGAGAAACGTCTAATACTCAATTGTAATAATCGTATACCTACTGTTACACGCAGATGACTCTTGGGAACTGTTTTCAATCCCAACTTGAGTCTCACGGTTTTAGCAGCAGCTCCCCTTCCTTCTTCACGGGGTTAGATGCATGTTAAGCAGCGCTGCCGCGTTGTCATTTGTACCCCGACCACCACCTTGCTAGTTACAGCAGTGCCTAGACGATGCGAGCATGAACGCAACAGGCCTTTGGGTTACGGCCAAATAGGAGCCTCATCCCTGCCTTACAGTAGGTATTCACGTCTCCCATGAGCCCTGTCATCACCGTAGCCGGATGCTCGCAATCAACCCTTACCCAGGGCGCTAGCAAGGGTATCCTTCTACGTACCTACTTAGGTACCGGAATACTATCTAGTTATACCGCCTACTGGTACTCATGAAGCCCGATTGCAGCCCGCTGAGTCATGTTGAAGCCCATTCCCGGCCAACCGGTCCTATAGCTCAGCTTGGTTAGAGCGTCGTACTAATATTATGGCACACCACCGTGCTGTAACATTGGTGATGCGAAGGTCGTGAGTTCAATCCTCACTGGGACCATCTATTTTGGGGGGTGTGGACTGATTTACCTTTTTTTCTTTCTTCATCGATGTTCCTTTAATGTGCCTAGTGGACGAATCCCTATAATGAGGGGAACGCGAGTAGAAGGCGAATTAGCTTGGTCATGATCAACGCGCTATACGTTAAGGTATCCTACTATACAAAGATCTGAGAACAAGGTCTAGATATACCAGCTAGCTTGGCAAAAATATACGTTGCGCCGGCCAAGTCTATGTTTCTATTATGAAACGCTTCCTCCATCTCCGTGGGATTCGCTCGTTGAGGTATATTTTCATGACAAAATAACAAAAGCCGACTGTCGGTTGGGTGACGGTTGTACGTACGGAGTTGTACCGTTGCCAACCCCGTCTAGACAGAGCGCTATGCCAATGCGCCGCCGTGAATGCCGCCTCTCCAAACGCCAGTTGTATTACGCCACCGAATTCGAACGCCACTTGGTGCTTATCATATCCCATTTTGTGCCAAACCGTAAACTACCTAAGCGGGGTTTGTATCCTTGGACGCACTGTCCTTAGCTTAAGGGACGTCGTTCTTGGATCAAATTTCCTAGTCTGGGGATCCCACCACCCGACACAATCGACGGTAAGGATTGCTCCCGGAGTATGGATGGACACCAGGCCAGACACCCGTATCGAGCCCCTGGGGGGATAAGCAGGTATCGGTTGCCATTTCTCTTTTAAAGTCTTCTTGAAGCTATCCCATGGGCCACTGGCGTGTTCCTGTGTCGTGCGAACCAGATAAATGTCTTTGGCACTTGGCGTAGTCGGTAATGCACGGCCGACGCCAGCGCCTGGACCTATAGTCTCGGGCGTTGTTGTCGACCCCCCAGAGCCCCCTTCCACGCGAGGTAGGGAACCAGTAGTTGATGCCCCATTGGCTTGGTTTTGAGGCGGCGATGGTGATGCGGAACCCGACTTCTCCGACTGCTGTTTGAGCCGCTGGTGGACTCTGTCTATAGCTCCTTGCATATTGGCCAAAGAGTCCTCTCGGGACTCGTAGCCGAAGTACCTCGCAATAGTCATGACGTTCTGCATCGCTAGAGCACCCGAAAACTTCCATAAAGCGGTCGCGAGGGGTAAGGGCCAGAGAGCTGACCTTGTCCGAAACACAGCATCAGGGTCGACTTGCTGTTCCGCCCAAATGAGGCCCTCCCCGCCACTCCACGATAGCCTACGCAAGGGTTAGCCGGCGAAATCTCCCTGAGTTATCGGAGAAGAGGTGTACCCTTGTCGAAAGAAGGTCGGCGGCGGCTTCAGCGGAAAGTACACTTCAAGCCAGTACTGAAAGATTTTGGCGTCCTTTCCAAATTGCTTCACGAGCAGGGGGTGTTTGACAATAGCATTGAGCGCCACCTGCGCAAGACTGGCTATTGAAGAAGTCAGCAGGCGTAAGGGATTCACATGGCGTCTTGCGCATGCCCACCTCGTATCGAGTCCTGCAGTTCTCGGTCCCTGTTGATCTGCAGGTAAACTCGCCACTCGGGGTCGGTACTGCGGTAGGGCGGTGGCTCGATCATTTGCGTAAAGCCCGGAAAGGGTATGAAAAAAAAAGACTGTAAGTCTTCCTCAAATTCTTGGTCGTCCGGCCCGTCCCCCTCTGATTCATCGTCGACGTCGTCGTCCTCGTCGTCCTCGAAGATGAGTTGGGTCTGTGTGAGAACCACATAGAGGGCAAGAGTGGCAGTGGCTCCCATGACAAGAGTACTACTGCAGGCCGGTTGTTAGAACAAACGAAGCGCCACGGTAACAAGCGGAGGGAAGGGGACGGGTCGATATGCATACGAGAGATTGTTTCTTCTCCTGAACCTGACCGGTTGTACCCGGATGACGGTAGGCTGCGGGGGGTTCACATGATTCGAACTGGCCCTAAACGGGAGGCGGAGGCTCTGCCGGAGACGAAGGAGCCGAAGCATGGCGGGCAAGCGAGGAGGCAGGCCACTCGCCGGTGCCGGTGCCCGGAGGCAGGGGGAAACTGTTCAACGCGTGCGGGCGCAGTGAGGAACCGCGCTGTCGGCGAGGGAGGCGGCTCGGGGCTCTCGTGGGGCGATCAGGTCGGGTCGGTAGGGCGCGTCGCCGTCTGCGGCTATTTCTTTCTTAAATGAACGATTATATAGATATGTCTTGTCGCTGGCGGCCACAGGGTTGCTGTTCGAACGGGATCGATACGCCTTCAGGTACGGCGAACAATTCAGTCGACGTAGGTACAAGGCAGGGTGGCCTGCCTAGCGTAGACTTGTTCTTAGTACGTACCTGCGTATGCTTGCTTGCTAGTCGGCAGAGGGTGGAAGCGCTTAGAAAGCAGGACCGTTTTATATGGGGTGGGGGGGGCGCTTTTTACGTTATTAAGGCATACCGTACCCTATATGCATTGTAATTTGTAGTCCTGATTTGAGACAACAAGCATTACTAAGTTTGTGAACCCAAATAATAGAAGCGAGTAAGTGCACGTGACTATATATTCTATGGCGAATATATCAGACAGGCAACTGGCAAATCTGACAGCGATGCTCCCAGATCTGTACCTAAGTATCTATGTACATCTAGTTACCTTGGTTTGGGTAGTAGCCCACGGTACACGTCTACGTCACTGTACGTACCTACGTGTTCTAACCGTTTAATACTGTGCTCCGTAGCGTATCTGAGCTACCCGGCATGACCGTTGTTCTTACAACCTGGATATCGCATAGCAGAGCAGAGGCTGGAACAGCCTTGGATTGTCCCATCTTCTCGTCCATACCCACGTCATCAACCCGCGGTCACATAGATTGAGTCCGCTGAAGATGAAGCTCCACGGCTTCCTGCTACCAGCACTAGCCGGCGTCGCCGCCGCCGACTCGCCGCAACATGCCGAAGCATACATGCTCAGAAACACCAGGCAGACCACGATATCCAACCCTCCCTCGATACCGGCTGCCCTCGCCGAGGCCATCCTCCTCCAGCGCCTGAGCTCGCCCGATCACCCATCGGCCCTCGGCCAGATCCCGCAATCCCTAGGCGAAGAGGAAGCCGTCTCGTACATCAACGCATTCGCCAAGCCCCCCCGACCCCTGTTCGACAGCTCCGACACCGACGAGCCCAAGCAGCTCGTCATCGCCTTTTCAGGCATCACCCCAAAGCAACACAAGCAGCTGAGGGCCGCTATACCTCGCGTGCCTCTTGCCTTCACGGCGCCCGCGCTCGGTCGGTTGCCTGTCGAGACCAGCTCGAAGTGCGCCTTTGGACCATCCATCAATCCCAAGTCCGGCAAATGCTGGAGCGGCAAGACGCAATACCTGCACTACGATGCGGTCAAGGTATGGGCGCTAAGGAAACCATATAGGATAACGCAAACTCGCTAACGCGCAGAATTTCACAGGACAGTGACATCGTTAAACAGCTCAGCGTCAACCTCGCTTCGCTGAAATCGTATGCCAACGATGGGCTGATGGAGACGACCATCGTGTTCCTCGGCGAATCCACATCCAACGACGACGACGACGAGGGGCTCCGCCGCCGCCAGCTACAGTTCCAGAAAGAGAGGGTGATGGGCGAGTCGTCCGCCGCCGACACCACCTTCGTGTCGAGCACCCACAAGCCAGCCGCTGACAACAACAAGGCCTTCGACGCCTTCGCCGGCCGCCCCACGACCGTGCCCGGCTGCTTCGCGTCCCAGAACGCCTGCGAGACGGCCACCAGCTCGTGCTCGGGCCACGGCGTCTGCGTCGACCGCTGGGGCAAGGACGACACGGACAACTCGTGCTTCTTCTGCCACTGCGGCACCACGGTCGAGAAGGACGACAAGGGCCAGCACGTCTACCGCTGGGGCGGCGCCACCTGCCAGAAGCAGGATATCAGCACCCCCTTCTGGCTCTTCGTCGGCGTCACCATTGCTCTCGTCGGCACGGTTGCCTTCTCCATCGGCTTATTGTTTAGCGTCGGCGAGGAGAAGCTGCCCGGTGTCATCGGAGCTGGCGTGTCAAGATCTAAGTAGAGAGAACGGCAGGGAGTATACACCAAGCTCTCGTAAAGTTATTCGAGCCCAAGGCAAGGCCTTCGTGAGTAGCGACACATGTGCTGAATAAGGGACTCCAAGTAGGTAGGCATCGAAGCCCTCGGAGTCAGAACACAGTCTGTTCGGAAATAGTAATTTGGGTGTATCATTATGTACCGATAGAGGCGGTGACTTTAGGCATCCATTGCTGGTAATTCCTGTCGTCTCGAGAATACATGGGATCACGGCATTTCAGTTCTCACAATTAATAGAAAAAAAAAAATCAAACCACATTATGCTTCCAAGCGTATCTTCATGCTCTACGTCTCTCGTAAACATAAAGGGGGGGGTATCATAATTCCATCTGCGCCTGCCGTACGGGCGTCGTCCCGAGACTCTCAAGGCCCCTCTCACCAGGGGTCCCAGGGCCATCTCTGAACTGGCCCAACAACGTCCTCGCCGCCGTAACGGTGCTCTCCCCGTTTGCGCTATCCGCGAGGCCTCCGTCATTGCCCTGCACATTCTCGGCCCCGGTCCTAGCGCCCGGCATCATGAGGGCACGGTACCGCTCGCCGGCCTCGTTCAGCAGCCTCTGGACTTCCGGCTCTCTCTTAATTATGCCCTCCCGCTCAGCCTTGAGCTCAGCGATGTGCGCGCGCATGCGCAGCAGGTTCTCTTCCTTCTGGCGCATGCGGGCCTTGAACTCCTCCACGAGCACGCTCAGATCCGGGAGGGGTGTGATCTTGGGCGGTACGGGGACCACGCCCTGCCGCGCGCCCAGCCGCTTCCGCTGCTGCTCGCGCTCCTCGGCCAGCCCGTCCATGCCGGCACGCGTCTGCGCCGCCTCGAACGCGGCCCGGCGCTCGGCTTCGGAGTCGTCCGAGGCCGTCTCCCCGTCCGAGCCCGCACCCTCGGCGGCCGAGATCAGGGACGCCATCTCGGCGCGGTGCCGCTTGCGCGCCTCGCGCTCCGCCTTCTTGCCCAGCGACAACCCGCCGTCCTCCACGAAC